ACAGCTCTAGTTAAAAAAAAAAGAGACTCAGGGAAGACTCAGCAGGAAACTATTTTACCTTTTGAAGTATTAAGGTTCAGACCCACCCGGGTGTTGAGAGAACCTCCCTCTCTGGCCAAAACGGCCCCTACCAAAAAAAAAAAAATAATAATCAAAAGAAAAGGAAAGGAAACAAACAAAAAACCCAGAGAAGATGACAAGTCCATGTCTGAAGGAGGGGTAACACTGATTACTTCAAACAAATCCCCTCATCAGAGAGCACAGGACAGCAGAGGCCACCAGCTGCCTTGGCTGTGAGGTCAGAAGAGAAAGAGGAAGAAAGTGGCCCAAAAAGAGTGCCCAAATCTGCAGTCCAGGGGAGCTGGACTGGCAGGGGTCACTCGGGGCCTTGCCCCAGGCCCACCCACAGGCGCTGTCTCACCCTTGGAGACTCCACTGGCAGAGGGAGCTGGATCACTATGGAAAGAGCAAAGAAGCAGATAAGCTTAAACAAATGTCCATATGACGAGCAGGAGCAAACAGGGACTGAGCCAGAGTTCCCGGATGTATCCTCAGCCCTCGGCCAGGGGCTCAGAGAGGGAAACAAACAGAAAGGAACAGCAACGTAGCCTACCCAGTGCTTGATGCTTCCGTGTATCATCTTACTTCACCCTCACAGCAGCCCGATGAGACGGGTACAGTGGTTTTCCTGTTCTACAGATGAGGAGATTCAAGAATGGAGAAATTAACTTAGTGCAGTCATTTTGGGCAAAACAAACATAGAAGCTACTGCTCACTTTAGCTGGATTCCTGTCATGCACTCAGGCACAAAGCTATTGACAGAAATCACAGTTTAGCTAAAGACTGTTGGGCCGGGGATTTAGCTCAGTGGTCCCGCCGCCTGCCTTGCAAGCACAAGGTTCTGAGTTCGATCTCCGGTACCAAAATATAAAATAAAATACCATAAAATACCATAAAATACCATAAAATGCCATAAAATTACACTGGGATCACAGGAAAGGTGCTTGTATGGGGTGGGGGTGTGTTCCCCATAATTCCTATAACAGAATTCAATAGATATCTAGTACTGATCAATCAAATACTACTCTACATTTGGGGGGGGGTTACCAGGGATTGAACTCAGGACCTTGTGCTTGTGAGGCAGGCAGTGGCACCACTCAGCTAAATTCCCAGCCCTATACTCTTTTAAAGGCCATGTGATATTATTAGATTTCATACACACATTGGGAGTGCTAAACTACATCCCCACCTCTATTTATTTGTTTGGTTCTTTTAAGACAATTCTCCTAAATTGCCCAGGCTGGGCTCAAACTTGCAATACTCCTGCCTCAGCCTCCTGAGTAACTAGGATTACTGGAGTGTACCACCATGCCTAACTCACTAGGTTTTCATGCACATATATTCTTTTGATGAAGAAAGGAAGGAAGGGGGCCAGGTATTTAGCTCAGTGGTTTCACCACCTGCTGAGCAAGCGCAAGGACCCGAGTTCAATCCCTAGTACCAAAAGAAAAAAAAAGGAAGGGGGGGGGAGGGAAGGGAGGGGGAAAGGAAGGAAGAAAATCCGACATCTGCTAGGCCAAAATCTAATGCCATGGACACCTATTCTTTCACCACATAACCTCCACCACTCACTGGGTTTTGCCTTATTGGCTCCCTCCTTCACTGGGTAATGTTATGGCCCTATCCATAAAAGAACCTTGTCCTGGGGCAGGGGATGTAGCTCAGCAGCACTGCACCTGCCTGCCAAGCACAAGGTCCTGAGTTCGATCCCAGGTACCAAAAAAAAGAAGACGAAGAAGACGACGACGACGATGAAGAAGAAGAAGAAGAAGAAGCAGCAGCAGAAGCAGAAGGAGAAGAAGGAGGAGGAGGAGGAGGAGAACCCTGTCCTCCCCTGGCCAAGGAGAGGTCAGGAGGACAAAGGCACCCTCTTTCTGGAATCTTGGGCAGAATGGCAAAAATGATGGAAACAGCTGGAACCAGTTCACCCAGAACCAGAAAGCCTCTGTTCATCAGTTCCCTCCCTACCCAGGCCCCAGGCCCCAGGACTCTCTCAGTTTGAACTTCTTCTGCTTAAGCTAGCTGGAGTCACTTTCTGTTGCTTACTATGTTCAAAGGCGGTTAATGGAAATGTCTAATAAAAATAAGTTTAAGGTTTATTTGTACTGTTATGTGCTAAGATAACTTACCAAAGTGGTTTGCCAACTTTTTGACCTAAGAAGTCTTACATCACAGTCCATAAACAATGCACATATAGGGCCGGGGATTTAGCTCAGTGGTTCCAGCGCCTGCCTCGCAGGGGGAAGGTCCCGAGTTTGATCCCCGGTACCAAAAAAAACAAACAATGCACATATATAATATGTATACATACATTTAACTGAAACAAAGTTCTGCCAAAAATTCTACCCTAGCGGGATGTAATTCTTAAGCTATAATCTTACCTACTGAGGAGTCTGAGGCAGGAAGGTGGAAAGTTGGAGGCTAGTCTGGGGAACTTAGTGGGACTCTGTCTCAAATAACCTCAAAATAAAAAATAAAAAGGGCTGGGGAGCCAGGTGTGTTGGCGCACACCTGTAATTCTAGCATTTGGGATGCTGAGGCAGGAGGATCTCAGTGAGTTTGAGGCCAGCCTGGGCTACAAAGTGAGTTCAAGGCCAGCCCAAATACACAGCAAGATTCTGTCTCCAAGAAAAGGCTGGAGATACAGCTCAGTGGTAAAGCACTTACCTAGTATGCCTTGAATTCAATCCCCAGCACAGGGGGTAAAAAATGTCTACCCTTAACTAACACTCTGAGACAGAGACTATTCTACTTTTTCAGTGCTAGTTCTGCCCCCACTGCATTGATTTCTGGTCCACTAGTGATTATGGTCTGCAGTTTTGAAAAACTGGCTCACTGTACCTGCTACATGTGTGCCCAACCATAAAAATAATCCAGTGGTGGGCTGGGGATTTAGCTCAGTGGTGCTGCTGCCTGCCTCGAAAGCACAAGGTCCCGAGTTCAATCCCTGGTACCAAAATAATAATAATAATAATAATTATTATTATTATTATTCAGTGGGTGTATTGGCCCTACTTCCATGTCCAAGTATATAGCACTAATACACAGTGCCTGGCTGGTGGGAAAACACCAAAAACCCCAGGGCCCCAGCCCCTCTGGAACACTCCAAACGACTATCTACACTGGCAGCTCAGAAAAAAACATCTCTTCCCTTATTGATTCACTCCCACCTTGCACTGAGCACTCACTCAGTGGTATGAACACATGACAGGATCTCTAGGACTGTCCAGCCATAAATTCTATCTGTAGGCTGGCTCAGAGGAGAGGAATCTAGGGCAATGCCTGTCTCCTGACAGACTGACTGTTTACCATCTCCTCCCCCTCTTCACGAGCCCAGGAACACCTCCAATAGTCATTTCATTCTCAACTTTGGAGTAAAGTACATCTCGAGTTCCGCCTGGGAAGGAGTCCTTCTTGCTCTAGAGATCTCTCTCTGGTTAGCTTCAAACTTAACTGTGCCTGGAGCCTATGAATTCCTCACTCACTATTTTCCTACTTATTCCTTTGTGCCACCAAATAGCAAAAAACACCAAACAAACAGCAACCTCAAGAGATATCAGAGGGTGATAATTCATTCGCAATGCTGCCAATGTCATTCATGGTCCTAGACTTCTGTATCTTTTCTACAGCAAGCAAAATAGAAGCCCAGACAGCCCTCTCCTTTATTTATCTCGCACCCTTTCCAGTCTCAATCATTCCAAAACAGCACGAAGGTGGGGCAGGACTGGAGGTTGGGGAGCCGGGTCTGGGCAGCAGCGAGACTTGCACCGTAATGTGGCAGAAACATTCCCAAGCCTAGGCAAAAATAACCAGGGGACTGTGAAAAGAAGCGATCCTCAGTACTCTAAACTTCAAATGAGCACCTATTCTACAAATATTCTTTGAAGAAGACTATAACGCAGCTGCAGCTGGGTTAGCTCTACCTCAGGGGCATGCTGAGACAGGCAGCCAGCAGGGAATGGGGGGGGGGGACACAAACTCCCCATCGCCTTGGCTCCTGTCTCACAGCTATACGGGGTTAGGTTCCCAGGAAGCCTAGGAACAGCCACAAATTATCCTCCTTTGTCTCTAGAGAGGAGAAATCAGACGGCCAGCTGGGGAACAGTGGGAGCCTGGGAGACAGGGACTAAGGCCCAAGGGAAGAGGGAAGCAGGGCAGAGAGGCTTTCACTGGATTATGCCCCCCTTTCTCCGACTTCACCGGGTCCAGGAAACCCTCAAATCCTCACACGCGTCCCTTCCCTTCCAGCCCAGGTTCAGCATCGCCTTCATCCCCTGGCTCCGGCTTGGCGGCTGGAGAGGGAAGCAAAACCAACAAACCGTCCCAGGAAGCGATCTGTCGGCCGACGGGGGGAGGGGAGCAGGGGACCTGCAGGGGACACGGAGGGGTGACCACCAGGTGGAAAGCTCTGTCCCTCTCAGCAGAAGGCGGGGTCTCCGACCAACGCCGGAGTGATTTGGGTCCCCCTGCCTCCCACCAGCCCCCCAACCCACCGCCCCAAGCCCTGGAATTTCACTCTCTACCCCTTTTTCTTGTTACTGACCCCTCAAAGCACCATAAAATTCTTTGAAGGGCCTCTGAGGTCACCAGGACCCGCAGAAAAGCTTCATCCGGTTCGGCGGGACGCGAGGTCCAGCAGGGCGCAGGGACCCTGTCCCCGGTTCTCTGACGACCCACGCTCGCCGCCCGGACGCCTGGGACGCGCGGTCACACGTGGCACACACAGAAGCCGCAGGGCCCTCCCAAGGGGCCGGGTCCCCCAGCCCTCGGCCTCCAGAGTCTCAGTCCCGACCTTCCCACGGCCCGCCGCAGGGCAGAGAAAAACAAGGGAGCGAGAGAAGCGCCGAGAAGGGCACCGGCTGATGTCACGACCTCGGCGCAGGCCGGAACTGGAACCCCGAATAGCAAGCAGGGAAGGCGGTGTGGGTAATTCTTCTTACCGTGGTTTGGCCCTCCGGGTGCACGTCCACAAGTCTGCACCAGTTCCGCGTCCCGTTCATCTTCTTCGCGCCAGGCTCGCAGCACACAGCCCACCCCTCCGCCCCGCAGTCCGGCTTCAACTGGGCGGGTGCGTGAGGAACCGCCCCTAGTATAGGAGCGTCGGGGGCGGAGCCGAGGGTAGGCCACGCCCAAGAACGCTGTACGCCAATGGGCGAGCGAAGGCACAAAGTGGGGGGTGCCAAGTGACCTCAGGACACGCCCCCATCCGCGCTAGTTTACATTTACATAGAGGTGGGCTTTTGGAATGACCCAGAGCTGCTGCTTCAGTTTTGTCTGGAGTGCGTGGTGTACAACATTCATTAATCTTGTCTCAACTCCAAGATGAGTTTGAGTCAGAAGTAATCATCTTGCCTGCTCCTCTATAGCAGACGAAGAGTTGGAACCTCCGCATACCTTCACACATAAGCCAGCCTGTACACTTTGTACAGCCGAGTAAACCTTTTCCACCTCGGTAGAAAGGCAGGCACCAAGGGCTGGCTCACTCAGACTAGCCTGAGCCAGTCTGGCAGGTGCCCTTCCCTGGCAAGACGCGGGGCCAAAGTCAAAGCCAGCTAGGCTCTGGGTGGGGCTTGTTTTGGAGAGCTATTATATCAAAGCTACCCTTATATGGTGGGGAGAGGCGGGACACATTGCCTTAAAAGGAATCCTAGAGAAACTTCTCCGATGGCTCTTACTACCTACCCTACACGGCTGGGATCTGGAGGGTTTAAGAGAGGGAGTTGGCCAAACAGGCCCAGGAGTTTCCTCCCAGCCCAAGTGCTCTGGGCAGATGGCTGTTCCACCAGTCTGAGGTCTGAGCTATTTCTTAGTGCGCAGTACCCCTACATCTGGCAGTAAGTTAAGAAGGGCTAGCTGTCTCAAGCCAAAACCAGGGCAGAGGGGAGAAACTTCCCACCTTCCAGATAGGGATGGGGCCCCTGGTCTATTAGGAATGGATGCGGATTTGTCTGGGAGGTGAATGCTGGAGATATGCCTGCAACCCAAGGGAATAAAGCCCTGTTCTGGTCTATTGCCCAGGTGTTTGGGGCCTTGCTATTCCCAGCAGGTTGTTCAGGGAAGAACAGGGCTGCTATAAACACGTGCAGGTTTTCTAGGTCCCATCTGATCTACAATAAAGGACCTCTGGAAAGTGAGGTGAAGAAACTCCCGCTTCGTTCTCTAAACTGTAGAGTTAAAATGACCTCTTCATAAAACTTAGACTTCCAAATAAGCCAGAAAAAAAATCAGAAGACAAGGATTTAAACATATATAATTTTAATATTTAATTTAAAATAAAACCGAGGCTGAATTGCATTGGGAGAGTGTCTGATTTGCAGAATATAGGATTCTTTTTTTAAAAAAATCATAAAATTACAAGTCATTGGTGAGAGCAGCTTTCTCCCTAACCTGCTTTGGAAATAAGAGAGGTGAATCATTCCCCTCACTTCCTCCCCACCAGCGCTTGGCTCTCCCCAGAATCTAGGAGAGAAGTACGTTCTCCATTGGCCCTTCCCATCTCTACCAAGATGAGCTCCTCACCCCAGGTGAAGCCCGAATAGGGCCCAGCTCCTGAGAAAACCAGGATCTCTTGGTTGCCTACTGAAGTTGCTCCGATCTGGCCAGAGAGGCCACAGGAAGGGCTCGGAGACCGAGACTTGTGCTTCTGTAACTTGTATGGAATTGTCAGGATTGTGCAGCCACCCTGTAACCACATCCAGAGGCACAGAGGAGAGAAGGAAGGGGGAACCCTGAGCAGAACCAGGGCCCCACCGTGTATCAGAGCCCTGCCATCAGTCCTTCTCCCAGGGCCTCAGCAGTGAGCAGCAGGGGCCCTGACCAGTCACTGGGGAGCGGGGCAGGCCCAGGGCCCCATGGGGAAAGGCTGGATTCTGGAGAGGTATGAATGTGCAGGAATCAAGGCAAGAAGAGCATCCTTATCTCCTCACCCTGGCTAAGGCACTGACAGGAAAAGGCAAGGTAGAAATGGTAAAGATGGAAGGGGAAGGGACGAAGGGTCCCCTGGACCCATTAGCTTGGAGAAGACAAAAATGAAGGAACTGGAAGGGAATGGGGCTATCACAGGAGCGCCGTGACTGTTCAGAGAAGCATCTGAGAAATGAGTACAGCCACGCCTGCGTGTCTGTTACCCATAATACTTCTACACCCTGCTTCAAAGTGGGAGGAAAACAAGTTGCAGGAATCCAGGAGCAGAACAGCATTGGGTATTTCCCTGAGCCACAAAGTTAAGAGCTAAAGAAATAAAGCTTTATACACATGGCAATTTCTATTCTTCCTGATCCTTTTTTTTTTTTTTGGTACTGGTAATCAAACTCAGGACCTTGCACTTGCGAGGCAGGTGCCAGAACCGCTGAGCTAAATGCCCAGCCTTCTTCCTGATCCTTTTCAGCCCCCCTCAGTCTGTACACTGACCATCCTTCCACTCATTTCATCTCATTTCAGGGAGAAGGAAGAGGGATCAGCACCTACGGGGACTCAGTAAGCCTAAAATACCCATTCCTCCAGTGGAGAGGCCACATCCCTCCTCCAGCTTCCTACTGTCTTCATCACATGACTCAGACCCCTGCCTGTCTTAGCGCTGAGTAACTGGGTCACCCATGGGAAAGAGGAATCCGTGGCAGACAGGGCATGCAAGGCAGAGCAGGGCTGGCTGGGATAGGCCTCGAGCCCGTTTCCAGACGTTCAGGACAAGAGCTAGCAGGAGCTGGTCTGAAGGTTGCTCTCCGTAAGCAGCGAGGCGATGGATGAGGGGTCATAGACGCTGTCAAACTCTTCGTCGTCAGAGCTCAGCCCCTCGTTTTTGAGAGCTGACTCGGCGGCTGAGCGAGAGGCTTTGCGCCTGAGTCAGAGAGAAGGCTGGTGAGGGCCAGGGAGCAGATAGAGAGAGCCATACTTCACATTAAGGAAGCCACTTCTAGGGCCCAACCCTGGACAGCAGATCCCCCACAAAGCAGAGATCTAGGGGATGAGGCACAGGCTGGGGCTGTGAGACACAGAAAACCACGTAACTCCAGCAGGACAAATGATCGCAGGGTCCTAGCCTAGAGATCCTCTCCCTCCTCCAGCTCGGGAGAGCCCGCTAAAGGGGACAGCCCGTACCAGGCATCCTTCTCTAGGGACCTGATCCGGGCCTGGAGCTGTTCGTTGACTTCATGCTGCTCCTCCAGCTCCCGCTGAGCCTTCTTCCTCAGGCTATCCAGGCGCTCGATTTCCTCTTCTGCTTCATCTACCCGCCGCTTCAAAGCCTTCACCCTCAGGCTTAGCTGGGCAGATAACCAAGTCCCCACATGAGAAAAGCATCTGCTGCTACACACTGGGACTGCCCCTGTAACAATCCTGACAAGGGATAATTGCCCCAGGAAAAGTGTTAGTTTTCTTCTAAGGACCTAGCCTTAGAAGGTTGTCTTGGGGATTAAATGAACTAATACACGGATCAATTAGAAAGAGAAACAGCTGGGCATGGTGGCACATGCCTGTAATCCCAGCACACAGAAGGCTGTGGCAGGAAGACTGTGAGTTCAAAGCCAGCCTAGGCTACACACTGAGGGAGATCCTGTCCCAAAACATTGAAAAGTAGTAAAAGAAACTAACATTCAATACATTCGCCAGCTATGACTGCTCTAGTCCTTCGATCTCATCTCCCTGGCCTTATAAAAGCAGTCTGTTTGAAAGACTGATGTTGATAGAGACCTGCCTGGGCCGTCTGGCAGGCACATAAAACATACATGCCCTGGGGACAGTAGCCAGCCCCTGCAGCGCCTGTCCTCACCTGGTCTTTCTGGTCGTTGACATGCTGTCGCTCATCATCTATCTGAATGGACAGTTCTTTAACTTTGCGCTCCAGTTTTCGGTTGGTGGACTGCAGAACTGTCTTCTCCCTAGGAGGGTGAGGTAGAGAGGCATCTCCGGCTGTCACCATCCCTCGGGAAACCTGTCCTTGGCCCCTTACTACCTCCAAGGACTTCTCTGTCATAAGCCCCAGCAATATCCTGGGTGGGATCAAGGAAGGGCCAAAGAGAAAGGAGACGGAGGTCATTCACGTCTCAGGATTTCTGCAGCTCTCTCTGCTCTGTCTCAGAAGCAGAGGGCTGGGCATGGTGGTGCACATCTGCAATCCAAGCACTTGAGAAGCTGAGGCAGGGGGATCGCTCCAAGTTTGAGGCCAGCCTGAACTACACAGTGAGACCCTGTCTCAAAAACAAACAAAAAGCAGCAAAGGGGATTCCTGAAGATCAGGGCAAGTTGGATAGATCCGAGGTGGAAAAGGAAAGCAGCCCCAGAGAAGAAAAACCCAAATGAGGGAGGGAGGGCAGGGAGGACAGGCTCATGTCACCTCTCCTCAGCTTGTAGACGCTCCTGCAACAACTGATTCTGGGACTCGAGCTGAGAGAGGCTGGCACTGGGCTTCTGGAAGCCTTCTGAGCTGGCCAGCCGGGTCTTCAGGTCCTTGTTCTGAGAGGGACGGAAGCTCCCCAGTCAGCACTCCACTTGGTCACCCTACCAGCCCGGGGTCCGCCCTGAGCTCCCCTCCTTCACCTGTCTCTCCAAGGAGATTTTGTCACACTCCAGGTCCTGCCGAGCAGACCTCTCCTGCATGAGCTCGGCCCTCAGCTGGTCCACCTAGCGGGGTACACAAGAGGCGCTAGCCTTGGGGAGGCCATAGTGGCCCGCAGGCTGACCCATGCAGGCAGAGCCCTGGAGGGTGGTCTCTGACCCCAACCCCTACATTCCCTGGCAGGGAAGAAATCAGGCTTTTCAGAGGGAAGGAACTGCACAATTGACACAGGGTTTTTTGTGTGGTTTTTTTTGGTACCGGGGATCGAACTTGGGACCTTGCGCTTTCGAGTATGGCGCTGGAACCACTGAGCTAAATCCCTGGCCCAACACAGGGCTTCTTATACCCACTGGGAACCAGCAGCCCTTCTAAGCCCAAGCGGCCCCGCTCAGGGCAGAGCAGCCCAGGCTATGATTCCTTCCTCCATCCAGACTCTTGGCCGCTTTTCATCTGAGGAAACCTGCCGATCCTCCCCAAAGCAGACCAATCCTGCAGCCAGAACTCTCCAGATTAGTGGAGCAGGTCAGGCAGTCGTTTTTCAGAGGGCAGAGGGGGTTGCGGTTGGGAGTAGACACGGTGAGTGATGAAGATGGAAGTACCTGGTCCCGGCTGCGATTCACCCGCTCCGTCAGCAGCTCCCCAGTGCTCTTCTCTTCATCTAACTCAGCCTCCAGCCGCGAGACCTTTTCCTATGGCGGAAGGACAAACGCCCAACGCTGCCCAAATGCTGGACACTGGAAGGCCAAACTCGGAGCAGGACCCTCTCAAACTCCAGCCACCACAGACTTTCCTCTCTTGTTCCTCCAGGATTCTTTTGGTCCTTGTCCCGGCCCAGAGCCACCAAGGAGCTGGCGCCCTCTGCTGATCAGGTATGGGATTGGGACAAGGGGTAGGGCATGCTCTGGTCAGGACAGGAAGGCAAAGCCCAGAAGCCGATTTTCCTAATAGGAAAACCCAAGTACTGGGCTAAGGCAGAGAAGGAGATTCCGAAACCGAAATGCCAGAGTACAGGTTGGGGGGATGAATTTGAGCCGGCAGTACCAGCTAGAGGCTGTGAGGACAGACTTGGGGACCTGTACGGTTTCAATCTAGACATCCCCCAAAGCTTCAAGTGCTTGCAGAGCGGCTTCTGGGAGGTGGCTGGATCGTGGGTACTCATCATTGGCTGAGTCTGTCTGGGCTGGTGATGTGGGATGCTGGGAGGTGAAGCCTGGTTGGGGAGGTGGGTCAGAGGGTGTTGGCTGGAAGCCTATCTCCCTCCCCTCCTCCTTTGAGTCTCTCTGCTTCCTGTCTGCCACGCCAAAAGCTCTTTCCCCTCTCCCTGCCCCTCCACCATGCTGCCCTGCCTTGGAGCCACCCAACTATGGACTGAACCTCTACAAACCATGAGCCACAATTAACCTCTCCTCCTTTAACTTGTGGGTGCCAGGTACTGTGTCTGAGCGATGAGACAAGACACTAACACAGGACAGGCTGCCTGAGTCTGAAAATCAGATCTACTACACCCTAGCAATAGACTTCTAGGCCAGTTACTTAATGTCTCTGCGCCTTTGCTTTCCTCTGAGGCACATGTGAAAAATGGAGCTGGCCGGGCACCGTGGCACACACCTGTAATGCCAGCACTCAGGAGGCTGAGGCAGGAGGATCGCTATGAGTCAGAGGCCAGCCTGGGCTACATAGTGAGTTCAAGGCCAACCTGAACTATGTAGTGAGAGCTTGTCTCAAAACACAAAAAATAAGGGCCGAGGATTTAGCTCAGTGGTTCCACTGCCTACCCTGCAAGCGCAAGGACCCGAATTCGATACCTGGAACCAAATAAACAAACAAACAAATAAATAAATAAAGAGATAGGTTAAAGAGGTAGATGTCAGAATTAAAAAAAGAAAAATGAAAAAAACCCACAAAAAACAGAAGAATAAGAAAATAAGGCAATCTACCTCACAGGGTTATTCTGAGAGTGAAACGAAGCTTAAGTACCCAGCACGTGGTGCAGTATGCTTGTTGTTACTGTTGTTATTATTCACAAATACAGCAAATTGAAGACTACTGTTCACTCTGAAAGGGGGATGGCAGTGCTCGGCTCTAGCCAACTGCTGTCATGCAGAACTCAGGTGTAGAGGACCAGTGTTACATTTTCCAAATACATAGTCCTCAACTGTAAGCATTCCAGCTGCAAACTTTCACAAGTGTACTGGATAAGACTCACAAACGAATCCAACTTATGAACAATTCTCCTAGGATGAAAGTCTTTCGTAAGTCGGGGACTTATTGTATAAAAGAAGCTAGAAATCCAAATTTTTATGTGACATCTATACACTTCTCAACATTGGCATTTGATTCCAAGTTGCTTAAAACGACAAAGCCCAAAAAAACCCAGTAGCTGTGGGGCACCAGTTTCAATCTGTAGCACAGAAAGATGGGCTGAGGATGGTGGTACATGGCTGCAATCCCAGCACTCTAAGAAGCTGAGGCAGGAGGACCACAAGTTCAAGCCCAGCCTGGGCAACTTAGTAATTTAGCAAGACCCTGTCTCAAAAAATAAAAAGGGCTGGGGATATAGCTCAACGTGAAGCTCCTGGATTCGATCCTGAGAGAAGGAAGAAAGGTACTTGGAGTGTCTTGCCGCCTTCCCCACAGAGGCCTTCAAGAGGCACGACCCAGAACCCTCTGCTCTGGCCTCCTCCCACGACACCCCGCGGCATCCTGACCTCCAGGCTCTTCAGCTGCCTGGTCCTATCGTCCTGGGAGCGCCTCTTGTTCTCTGCCTCTTGCTCCAGTCCCTGCAGTCGCTGGGCCAGCAGCTCCTTGTCCAACCGGGCGGTGTCCCGCTCCGCCTGGGAGGCCTGCAGGGCCTGCCGCAGCCTCTGGGTCTGCCGGGGTGGAGTGGGGGGAGCCAAGTTCAGTGCAGTGGGAGGCAGGCTTGAGGGGAGAAATACCTCATCACTCACGTCCTTTAGAATTGCAGCACACACCAGCTGTGGTGGCGCATGCCTGCACTCCCAGCACTCAGGAGGCTGAAGCAGGAGGACCACCTCGAGCGTGAGGCCAGCCTGGGCTACATAGTGAGTTCAAGGCCAGGCTGAACTGCATAGCAAGACCCTGATGGCAAAAGAATTGCCAGTACAGGGTAATAACATAAAGCAGACTGACTTTTACTCTTTTTTAAAAAATTATTTTAAAATTCTCTACATAAGGGCCGGGGATTTAGCTCAGTGGTTTCACCGCCTGCTGTGCAAGCACAAGGACCCAAGTTTGATCCCCGGTGCCAAAAAAAAAAAAAAAAATCTCTACATAAATTGGAATAACTTGAGGTGTTTGTTTTTGTGTGTGTTTTTATGTGTGTATATTTTCCTTTGTTTTTTGTTTTTGAGATGGGGTTTTGCTGTGTTGTCCAGGCTGGCCTTGAACTCTTGGGTTCAAGGAATCCTCCTGCCTCAGCTTCCTAAGCAGCTGAGTCACAGGCACATGCTGCTGTGCCTATTTGAGGATTTAAAAAAAATACTGATCCTGGGTCCCATCCCTGAAGAGTATGATTTAAGTAGTATATGATACAGTTTAGGCTTTGGGATTTAAAGTCATCTCCCTGGGTGATTCTACTATGCAGCAGAGTTGCAAAGCCACTGCCCTACAGACAGTGCAACCTCCGTGTCTGTACCTGAGGTGGACAGCTCCCCCGCCCTCGCCCACCTTACTGTGTCACTCCAAGTGGCTGCACCGAAACCCAGGCCCCAGGTTCAGTTAGGAGGAAGGCTCTTCAAGCCCAAAGGCAGGGGCTGGGTCCCACCTTCCTGCCCTTGCACTTCCTACCTCATCCTGAAGGCGGCTCAGCCCACCCGAGGTCTTCTCAGCCTCACTGGCCCAATCCTTAGCCTGGCGCTGAGCATCTGCCACCTCCCGCCGGGCCTTCTCCTTATAATCTTCCAGCTGGGTCTGGAGCTGCTGCAGGGCTTGCTTGGAGTCATCCCCGATCTGCTCCAGCTGAAGCACAGACCAAAGGGTTTTCAGTAATAACCTGTTCAACTCCCAAGCCTCTCCCAAGAGTCCCTTTCCAGTCAAGGCAACTCGCTCTTGCTCTTGCCTGGGCCTGAGCACTAGTTTAATAGCTAGTGGTTATATGCAGATACCTGGGTTCAAATCCCGGCTCTACCACTTAGTACTAGTGATCGAAGGGAAGTTACTTATTCTCTTGGGTCTCAGTTCCCCATCTACAACATGGGGTAGTAACAGTACCAACACTGAAGCTGTTTCGAGAACTGTTAGTTAAGTATATAAAGTAGAACAGTGCCTGCTACAAAGTAAACCTCCCATAACCATATTTCAGTCAAGACAAGGTGCCAGTGATTATAAGATGTACTACAAGAAAGAAGATCTGCTGAATGAACTATGAGATACTATGAACTATAAACACAACCCTATTTCAGAAATGATGAAATGTGCAATTTAAAGAAGTGACAAATGACAAAATATACACATTCGAAGTGATGTAATATGGGCCGGGACTTAGCTCAGTGGTTCCAGCGCCTGCCTCGCAACTGCAAGGTCCTGAGTTTGATCCCCGGTACCAAAAAAAAAAAAGAATTGATGTAACATATTAAGTGTTTGGTCTTGTTTTATAAAGTAAGATATTGGGAGGAGGGGCTGGGGATTTAGCTCAGTGGTTTTGCCGCCTGCGCAAGCGCAAGGACTCGGAGTGCAATCCCTGGTACCAAAACAAACAAATAAACAAAAAGATATTGGGAGGAGAACCTTACCAGCAAAAAAGCTATTTATTTCCTTCTCTCTCTTTTTCCTTCCCCTCCTCCCAGCTTAAAGCTGTACTAATAAGGGCTGGGTGTGCAGCTCAGTGGTAAAGCACTTACCTGGGATGTAGAAGTCCCTGGGTATAATCCCTGTAACACACACACACACACACACACACACACACGCCTGCACACACACACACGCAAACTGTACTAAGTAGGAGTTTTATGTTTAAGTCTTACAGACTTCTAAAACAGAACCTCAGTAAATATTCTCTAAGAATGAAACCATAAAGGAATGGGATGCTGGGGTTAAGGGCAAAAACACAGAAAGGAGGTGAGAAGTCCAGCACTTTGGACAGATTTGGCCTTATCTTCCCAACCATGTACTTGAAAGCACGCTCTGGCCCATGAGCTGGACCTCTTCCCAGGCGCCCAAGACATCGGCCCACCTCCTGGTTGAGTCGGGCCACAGTCCTGTCCAGCAAGCGCTTTTGCTCCTCCAGCTCTGCCTTGCTCCGCCGCAGCACCTCCCGCTGCTTCCCCTCCTCCTCCAGGGCCCGGTTTAGGGCCTGCTGCTCCTGGCCCAGGCGCACCAGTCCCCGCTGGGCCTCATCCAGCCGGACCTCCAGGGCCCGCTTGGCAGCTGCCAGGCTCTCCTCCTCCTCCTGCGCCTCATTCAGCGCCTTCTCAAGTCGCTGTTTCTCTGCCTGGGAGCAGGGAAAGGTGGTGGGGTTGGACTGGCAAGAGCCACAGCTTAGGCTCCAGTCACTGGAGGTGGGTAGATAGCAGGGAGGAAAGCTAGTATTTATGAAAAAGGTGTGCAATGAAAACAGGCTCGAGAGGAAGCAGTGAAAAGATCAAGACACAGAGAGCAGGGGTGGGGATTTAGCTCAGTGGTTCTGGTGCCTGCCTCGCAAGCACAAGGTCCCGAGTTTGATCCCTGGTACCAAAAAAAAAAAAAGACACGGAGAGCAGGCCGGGGATTTAGTTCAGTGGTTCCGCCACCTCCCTCGCAAGCGCAAGGTCCGGAGTTCGATCCCCGGTACCAAAAAAGCAAAAGAAAACAAAACAAAAAAAAGACACAGAGAGCAAGCAGAGGGAGAGGAGACAAAAATACCAGTGCGAAGCCTGAAACATTCACACCAAAGTACACTCCAGGGAGTAAAAGCAAGGTTAATGGAGGACTTGGAAAGGTGAAATAGAAGCACACTGCTGGCAACATAAAACCCAGTGAGTATTTAGGAAGGGAGGATTCGGCCAGGGTGGAGGGCTCGAGGGCCAGGAGGAAGCGGCACTGTGGGCGGAAGTACTGACCTCCAGCCGCTGCACCTTGTCCCGAAGTCTTGCCTCCACCGCTTCCCCACCCTCCGCCAGCCCTCGGGCCTCCTTCAGCTGCTGCTCCAGACCCAGGATGTGCCGGCGGAAGTTGTCATTTTCTTCCTGGGTCTCCCGAAGTGTGGTTTCCACTGCTGCCCACCGCTGCCCCAGCACCAAGGTCTCTTTCTCGGCTGCCAGCTTGGCCTGCGGGCGGTGGGAAGCAGCAGCTCAGACCGCACGGCCTGGGTCACTGGGCACACAGCCTGTGGAGAGCGGACCCTCCAGAGTCCAGCTGCTGTCACCACCTACTGCCAAATCTCGCTGGGGGTACATACGCATCTCAGGGAGCCGTCCACGCCCTCGGCTCCTCAGCCCTAGAGCCCCTCAGCCTCCACCTCCGGAGCCCTGGGCCCACTCCCCTTGCCTTGGAGGCCTCTTCACAGTCCAGTCTCAGCTGCTGGACGGTCTTCTGTAGCTGGACATTCTGCTGCTCCAGCTCTTGGTCCCGCTGTCGGCCAGCCACCGCCTGGCTCTGCCGCTCGGCCTGCAGCTCCTTTAGCTCCTCCTGCGTCTGGCACAGCTCCTTGGAGGAAAGGAGAGTGGTGAAAGGTGTTCCGATTTATATCCAGCTGTCGTCCCAAAGCCTCACATGGGATTTTTCACGTGCTCACAGGTGGGATTTGGGGGTGGTGGTTGATCGCGGGGGTGAGACACTCAACAGTGTATTGGTCATGGATGAGTTCACAGCTAAATGTGATGGGGTTGAGGCCTGGCTGGAGGAGGTGGCTGCTGGGGCTGTGGGTGGAAGGGTCCATTTCTCTCTCCCTTGATCATGCTGCCTCCCGCAGCCAGGCCAGGAGCTCTTTCTCTTCACCATGCCAGGCCACCCTGCCTCGGAGCCAGGCAACTATGGACCGCAACCTCTCTACGCTGTGAACCCAAATAAACCTTTCTTCCTTACAGTTGTGGATGTGGGGTGTTGTGTCTGAGCCACGAGAAAATAACTAAGACACAGGAACAAGCAGAGCCAGACGGAGGTTCCGTCTGGTGGAGAAACAGAAACTCTCACAAGTTGTGGGAGGGAAAGTAAAACAGTGTGCCACTTTGGAAAGCAAACTGCTTCTGAACAAACTAAACATAAAACTTAAAATGTGACCCAGCAATTCCACTCCAGGGTGTATGCCCAAGAGAGCTGAAAATATGTAGTTCACATAAAACTTGTATATGAATGTTCATAGCAGCATTATTCACTATAGGCCAAACTGAGAAATGACCCAAATGTCCATCAGTTGAATGGGCAGAATATGGTACAGTACAGTCAGAGTAGAATGTTATTCATCCAAACAAGGGGTGAACTGCACCTGCCTCGCAAGTGCAAGGTCCTGAGTTCGATCACCGGTACCAAAAAAAAAGGGGGGGGGGGTGAAGATACTTGCTACTATGTGGTTGAAACTTTAGATAGTGGTTGTGGTTTTTCAATGCTGTGAATAAACTAAAAAGCACTAAATCATACACTTTAAAAAGAGGAACTGCCAGGCATGGTGGTGCACACCTGTAATCCCAGCACTCAGGAGGCTGAGGCAGGAGGATGGCTACAAGTTTGAGGCCAGCTTGGGTTACATAGTGAGTTCAAGGACAGCCTGAACTACACAGAGAGACCCTGTCTCAAAACAAATAAACAAACAAATAAGTGGAGGAATTCTATGGTATGTGAAATATAACCTCATTAAAATAATATGCAGGAAGAGTAGATCAGCACATGGATCAAACAAGAATGGCATCTAGGGCCGAGGATTTAGCTCAGTGGCTCCGTGCCTGCCTTGCAAGCACAAGGTCCCAAGTTCGATCCCTGGTACCACAAGAAAAAAAAAAAATTGCATCTAAAAAATATGTATTGAAAACCAAAAATATGATACAATGAATACTGGTACATCTCTAAATTCTCTTAAGAAAATTAAAGGGGGCCGGGGATGTATCAGTGGTACAGTGCCTGCCTGGCAAGCTCAAGGTTCTGAGTTTGATCCTTGGTACCAGAAAAAAAAAGAAAATTAAAATTAAAATATGGATTCTGGCTCTAATTTTTTAGTTATTACTCTTAAAATTCAGAAATAACCATAATTAGGCTGAAGAGCTATGTAACATGTAGTAAGCCTTCAGTGTAAGATATGAACAAAACTAATTACAAAGAAATAAATAGAAGAGAATGTGGTCTATTTTGGGCGTGACTAGTCTGTTCTCCTAATACATATTTTGTTTATTGGTTAAATACCTGATAAGATACACTTACTACATGAGGTAGAGGAAACAGTATGCATTGCTTTTTAGTTTACCCAGGATAATAAATCAACATTCACTCCGCCAGCTAATGTCATTAACGTTCTTCAGACTATTCTTAATATTTCTTAACTTTAAAAGAACATTAAAAATTCTAACTTCACTATTCTTTTGGGAGTTTTTCTGAGAAAACAAAATTTTAAATTACAAAACAGCATTGTAATCACCAAAGTATATTTGATTAACATTAATTTAATTATGTTTTTTCTCCATCAAATGTTTTGTGTAATCTCAGGTTTTGTTTACCTGAGAAATAATGAGCTATATCTGTTTCTTGGCTCATTTAAAATATAATTACAAGGGCTGGGGATTTAGCTCAGTGGCAGCACGCCTGCCTCGCAAGAGCACGGTCCTGAGTTCAATCCCTGGTACGAAAAAAATATATATACATACATATATATATATATATATAAATATATAATTACAGTGGGGGCCAGGGATTTAGCTCAGTGGTACCACGCCTGCTTCTCAAGCACAAGGTTCTGAGTTCGATCCCTGCTACCAGGAAAAAAAATTACAATTAGGCATTTGTATAATAGAGGTGTTATTAAAAAAAGCACTGAAACATAGCATGTCTCAGTGGCAGAGGACTTGCATGCCTGAGGTCCTGGGTTTAATCCCTAGTACCAGTACTCAAAAAGAGGGGAAAAAAAATCAAGCACTATTACTTGTTAACTGAGCACGTACTACATGTCCAGGAGAGTAAATCAAGGAAACAGAGCTACAAAGATTTTCAGGAGGTTACAAATGCCAGTTCCCTATAATGAAAAGATTTTCTAAGTTATCTAAGCTATCCAAAAGTGGTGGCCCTCTTATCCTTCATAATCTAAAACTGAAAAGCAAGGCTGTGCCCTAGAGACTGGGGAGTCGGACACATTAAATGCTGGGATCCGTTACTTTCCCGTGTCTATACTGCATACGCTCCAAACAGCCGCTCCCTGTGGGTCAGGAGGCCCAGCGACACAAGCACTCCAGTTTGTGTGACGATACCGTAAGCTGGATTCTAACTATAAACATTCATTTTGTTGTGTAGTTAACAAATCCCCCCCAAAGACAGAGCAGCTTTTGCTGTGCTGACCAAATTAGGTTTTTGAGTCTGCAAAAATGACTCTGGTTTCACAAATCCACCTATATCCTGCTACCCCTGAGGTCTCTTGGGACGCAGCCAGGGGCCTCTGGCTGTCCCCAAGCTGGCACCCAGAGGCCTCCACTGGAAACCTCTGTGCTCACAAGGAGACAGCCCTGCTGCACAGAAAGAAGACTGTGCCATGCACTCGGGAGCCCCTGCGGACAGGAGAAGCAGGAAACCCAGTCCCATCTCCTAGGTACCTTCTTGAGCTCTTCAACCTGCCGAGTATCTCTAGCTCCGGCTCCTGCCTGCTCTAAGTCCCTTTGTAAGATCTCCATCTTCTCCCCAAACTCCTCTTCCATCTCTTCCTTCTCCATCCGCAGTTGTAGGAGTCTGAGCCCGGCAAGGTGAAATCAAGAGAAAAAGGAGCAGGGTCAAGCCTCCCACCTGGGAGAGGTGCAAAGGACAAAGAAACCCCTGCCTAGGCGGCCCTGCCCTTCACTCCCCCGGATACCCAGTCCCGGGAGGATGGAAGGGGATATGGAGAAGGGCAGTCTGGGAATGGGACAGGAAAAGCAAAGCATGGGGAGAAAAAGCAGTGAGATACGGGAGTCACGAATAAATAGGTACGAGATCCTTACTCCTGCTTGGTGGCTCGAAGCTCCTCCTTGTTCTTCTGGAACATGCTCTGCCAATGGCCTGTCTCCTCCGAGGTCTCCTCCAGCTCCCTCTGCAGCTCCCGTACCAGCACAGACATCTTCTGCCTCTCGGCCTCCAGTGCTGCCTGGTCCTGGGGACAGGGAGGGGCCACGGGGGGTGAGGCTCAGAGGGAAGAGCTCACTGCAAGGCAGAGGAAGTGTGTGGGGGAAGCTCAGGCCCAGAGGGCACTGTGCCAGCTGTACCCTGACACCCTGGTGGGACCTGGTACAAGAGGAGCAGAGGATTCTGAGTCACAGTCCACCTCTACCATCCACAGGAAGCCTCCCCAGGTGCTCCCCTCTGGACACCAGTCCCCTCCTCTCCCAGCATCTGCTCCCATCACATGCCTGGCTTGCCTCCTGCATGCTCCGGCGGAGCTGCTCCATGTCCCGCTGGCACTGCTGCCGGACATACTCCACCTCCTGGTCACGGGACGCCACCTCCTCCTTCAGGGCTCCCTTCAGGGCTGTCAACTCCCGCTCCCGAAGCCTCAGCTGCTCTTCTACCCGCTGTTTCCCCTCCAAGACCTCTTCTAGAAGCTCCCGGGTCTCCAATAGGTCCTGCGGAAAGGGAAGGTAGAAGGACAGGAATGACTGCATTAGAATCCATCGTTCACTCATTCATTCAAAGAATGGCTACCGAGCACCTGAATTAGGCACAGTGCCAGATGCTGGGCTCTAGCCTTGCCCTACCTTTGAGTTGGCCTGACAGCACACTAAGTAGGACCACAGCAAGCTCCCTGCTCCCCACACTGGGGAAACCATGGGCAAGCAGACTTGAGGATGCTCAAGGGTGGGGTGCACAGCCCCACTCCTACCTTCAGGAGCGCCTCCTTGGCAGGCTCAGAGCCCGGGCCCTGTTTCAGCTTGTTCTGCAGCTCCATCAGCTGGGTCTCCAGCCCGTGCCGTACCCTTTCCTCCTGCTCCAGGAGGAGCTTCGTGTTCTGCAGCCTGACAAAACATCATGGAACACAATGTGTAAGGCAGTTTTCTAAACATTTCACATACACTAAGTCACTTAACCCTCCTTCAAGTGTTTTTTTCGAATCTTCTATGTTTGTGTTTGTTGAAGTGCAGAGGACAGGACCCTGGGCCTTGTGCATCCCCGGCAAGCACTCTGCCCCTGAGCCACAGGCCCAGCCTGTGCTCACTAATGAGGCTCTCCTACCTACCTTATTTAACACTGCAACCTGCTCCCCAGCAACCGGGCCCTCTGGATCTGCCCTAACCTGCTCTACTCAATACCTTCTCACATGTTACACGTTTATTTATATACTAGGTTTGTTTACTGTCTGTTCCCTCTCACTAGAAACAGTTTCTAGTGAAACAGAAACAGTGGTGGCACACACCCGTGATCCCAGCACTCTGGGAGGCTGAGGCAGGAGCATGGCAAGTTTGCCCAGCCTGGGCAATTCACCAATTTAGTGTCTCAGAATAAAAACATGTTTTTAAAAAGCAGCTAAGCTTCTGGCCTGTATCTGCACAGCTCACTGATATCTCAGGAGCCTAGATCAGTGCCTGACACTGGAAGAGTAACTCCTCACAACAATCCTTTGAGACAGGTACTATTCCTAAGCCCATTTCAGAGATGAAGAACCTGAGGCACAGAAGCAAGCCCAGGCACCCTAACTCCAAATGCACACCATTACTGACAGAGACAGTGAAGGAGAAAGGCCCGGGCTTAAACCACCTTTGCTCCTTCAGCTTCTGGGGATTTTATTCACATTTATTGATTCATTTAAAACTCCTCTAAGTGTTTGTTCAAATCTCATATGTTTGTTTTTGTTTCGGTTTCTTTGGGGGGGGGGTGGTACCAGGAATCGAACTCAGGACCCTGTGCTTGTGAGGCAGGTGCAATGCCACTGAGCTAAATCCTTGGCCCTGTTTGGGTTTCTTTTGTTTGTTTGGAAGTGCAGGGAATGGAACCCGGGACCTTGAGGATGCTACCCAAACACTCTACCACTGAGCTACATCGCCGGCCTGGGTTCGGATCCCAGTGAGGGCGCTCCTGACTACCTTATTTAATACTGCAACCCTGAGCTGCCACCTGCGGGCCCTTGGGCAGCCCCCCGCGCTCACTCCTTGGTGCTCTGCTGGGCCTCCCCCTTCCTCCTCTCCAGCAGCTCCTGCAGTCGGCTGCACTCCTCCTCCTTCTCCTCCAGCTGCCGCTCCAGCCCAATGCGGGCAGACTCGAGCTTCTGTCGCTTCTGAAAAAGGGAAGAGGAGTAGAATAGATAGAGCAGGGAAAGACTCCCAGAAAGATGCGGAATAATGAGCATGTGCCAGGCATGGTGGCACACGCTTATGATCCCAGCACTTGAGAGGGTGAGGCAGAAGGATCGCTCCAAGCTCGAAGCCAGTCTGTACTACACAGTGAGTTCAAGGCCAGCCTGAACTACAAAGCAAGGCCTTGTCTCGAAAAAACAGAAAAAACAAAATTTAAAAAATAGTGAGAATGCCTTACATCGGTGGACACTCACTATATAGCAGACACTATACTAGAGACTTCATGCGTATTATCTGCGTTTAATTTTCCTCACAAACCTTGGTATATGCAACGGTTTAAAATATGTCCAGAATTCCCTGACATTCCTTTCAAAAGACGAAGCCTGGGCCGGGGATTTAGCTCAGTGGTTTCACTGTCTGCTGCACAAGCGGCAAGGACCCGAGTTCGATCCTCGGTAGCAAAAAAAAAAAAAAAAAAAAAAGATGAAGCCTACTTCTGCTCCTCACGAGTATGGGCTGGACTTAGGGACTCCCTCTTTACAAGTAGAAAGAGGAGAAGGTGACATGCAAACTCCAAGGGTAGGTCCTAAGAGGCACTGAGCCGCCTCCCTTTGCTCCTGGCTCACCGGGTCTGAGGAAGGGCGGCTGCCACACTTACCGGCCCTCAGGTTGGGGAAAGGGTCCAGGGAAGAACTGAAGCCGCGCCCCAGCAGCTATTTGAACAAACCATTTCAGCAGCAGATTCTGGAACACTACTCAAGTCTTCTAATGATGACAGCCTCAGCCCAAAGCCCGGAGGACAGACCCTAAGCCAGAACCACCCAGCTGCGCTGATGCCTGATTCTTGGTCCAGACATCAGGAAGTGCTGATTTCAAGCTGGTGAGCTGGGAGTGATTTGTTACACAGCTATGAACAACCAAGTAATAAATGACAGTACTATTATTATTCCCACTTTAGGGAAATAAAGGCTTAGAATACTTAGAGAACTTGTCCAAAGGTTACAGATGTAGCTCAGTGGTGGAGTGATTACCTAGTGTATGTGAAGCCCTGGGTTCAATCCCTAGGAACCACCCCCCCCCCAAAGAAAACCCACACACACAGCCAAACAAGTAATAGCACCAAGAATTGAAGTCATTTAGTTTGAATCCATGCCCCACCATTTAACCATTACATTGCAATGTTTTCCGGGAAACAAGGGGATTGCAATCCAAAACTTATTGAGTACTAATTACATATAAGGCAATACTGTGAACGATAGAAACAGTACTTTAAAAAAGGGTACACAGCCAGGTGTGGTGGTGCACCCCTATCCCACCATTTGGGAGGCTGAGGCAGGAAAACTGCCATGAGTCTGAGGCCAGCCTGGGCTACACAGCAAGACCCTGCCTCAAAAAAACAAAAGAGGGCTGGGGATTTAGCTCAGTGGTTCTGGCGCCTGCCTCGCAAGTGCAAGGTCCCGAGTTCGATCCCCGGTACCAAAAAAAAAAAAAAAAGAAAAACAAAGGGAATACATAAAGCTGGGCATGGTGGTGGTGGTGCACACTTGTAATCCCAGCACTCAGGAGGCTGAGGCAAGAGGATCATCACAAGTTCAAGGCCAGCCCTGGCTACATAGTGAGTTCAGGATCAGCCTAAACTACATAGTGAGACCCTATCTCAAAAAAATAAAAGAGTACATAGATTTTAGAAGACTGACTTGGATTTTTCCATTCCTTCTCTGCAACTTACTACCACAGACAACTCACTGAACCTCTCCGATCCTCGCTGTCCTCATCAGAAAAGGGTCCCAGATGCCTACTTTACAGTCACTACAGTGATCACGAATCACCCAGGATGGTATCTGCTACAAACGTTACACTTGACAAATGACAGCTACTGTTATTGTCATTGTCATTATGATGATGAAAGGCTTGAAGTTAGGAGTGGTGGTACAGATTCACAATTACAGTGCTCTGGGAGCCCAAGGTGGGAGACTGCAAGTTCCAGCCCAGCCTGGGCAACCCAGCAACTGAGTGAGACCCTGTCTCAAAATAAAAAAGGGATGGGGATACATCCCTTCAGTTCAATCCCCAGTTCCACAGAAAATAAAAATAAATTTAAAAGGGCTGGGGATGTAGCTCAGTGTGAAGGTCCTAGATTCAATCCCCAGTACCACACACAAAACAAAAACAACACAAATGACTTGAGGCACAGATAACCTGAATAATTTTCTCAAGCCTTACATGGCCAGTAAGTGGCAGAACCAGGATGAGAAAGAAAACAGAATGCAAAGTAGCCAAAACTCTCATATGCGCTGCCTCCCTAGGCTCCAGGGAACCCCAAAGTCCTGGCTGGAGTGAGGGCACACTCATCTCTCCTCTCATAGACCCCAAGAGTGCTTGCTCAATTGCTCGAAGGGGCCAGGCTAGCCCTTCTCCAGGCCCAGGGCTTCTCCCCGTCGTCCTTCATCCCTTGTTCATCTCCAACCGCTTCTCACCTTTACCTCTTCATCCAGCTTTTTCTGTAGCTCCTCCACTTTTTGGGTGAGCTCGCCATGCCCTGCTAGAGACTTGGTAGAACCAGGAGAAACCATCTGGCAGAGAAATGAGGGGATGACAAGGAGGAGGGTGGAAGTCGGTCCACATCCAGGCCCCCAGATACCAGGCAGGCCCTAACCTGAGCAGGGGAAGGCTACTTACCACAAGAGGCTGTATCTGCTCCAGCACCAAACTAACCTTTCTCCGCACCGAGGCCTCACTTTCCGAGCTTCTGGGGGGAAAAGGACAGACACAAGGTTGAGCGGAAGAGAGGTCTCAGAGATAAGGAAGGGGGGGGGAAGATGGGGAATGAGGCCAGAGGAAAAGAAGGGAGGTCCAGGGGGCTGAGCCCCACTCACCCCTCCCTCAGGATGCCACAGATAGTGGCTTTCACGTGGTCTGTGCTGCCTGCTGGGGCGGCTTCCTGCTGGTCTCGAAGAAGGTCTGGAGTTGACTTGAACTGCAAGAGAAAAGGAGAAGGGGTAGGGGAAGGGGAAGAGGAAGAAAAAGAGAAGAGAAAGATTAGTCCAGAAGTGTGTATGGGGTTCTGGAGAAGAGGGGGCAGCCGGGAGACAGGGCCCTCCGATCATGCCGAGCAACGCTGCTGACGCCTGAGCAGCAACAGGCCTCCTGGAAACTGAGCAGGACACAATGCTATGCTATTGTCACAAACCATTTTCCTCAATGAGCAGATCTCAGCCGGCTGCACGCTACAACACAAGACTTTTGTCACTCATGACAATGGGTGTGCTAGAGTTTATGAATGACTTGTCTCAAAGTAAAGTCACTCCCCCACTTATTTGCACTCCAGAGTGGAAGAGAAAGGTGTAAAATTCCGGCAAGAGCTCCAGGGAACTATTCCTATCTTCTAAGGCTCTGGATCTAGCAAATCAGCGTTTGCTGTCACTAAGGCATGGCTAGTAGCTGGGACCGGAGGACCAATTCTCTATGCTGCTGAACAGTGACTGCACCATGCCATTTTCATTAGTATTTTACTCAAGAAGTACCTCGTATATATGAATTTCATCTATTTGGTGGATGAATGGATAAAGTAGAGAACAGAAGGCAGAGGCTTTCTGCCCAAGGCGACTTGGATTAGCAAGGAGTCCCAGGGCCCAGGCTGGCTGGAGGTGGGCAGGGGTTGGCGCTGACCTGCAGCAGGGCGGGATCATGTGCTGTCTCCCTCAGCTCCTCAAAACTCTGAAGGACCCAGTCCTGCGTCTGCCGGGATCGGGAAAAGCTGCCTCGGAGAGGGCTCTGGCTCAGCTGTGTAGAGCTGTCCACATGGCTGTCATACTTGGTGCTGGGGGCCCAGTGGCTGGGGGGCTGGCGCTCCCGCTCCTCCAGGGTGTCCCGGGGCAGCCGGCTGTCCAGGCTCTGGCTCCTCTTGCGCTGTTCGTGGGGCAGCGTCCGGGTGCGGCGACCAGTCCGGCCCCGGGCCTGGCCCCCCACCTGCCTGTCAAACTTGTTGATGAGGGAGTCCACTGAAGACAACGGAGCCGTGTCAATGGTGCTAGCCGGGGCTGGCTCTTGGGGCGGCAGCTCCAGCAAGCTGGTGCTCCTGTGGCCCAGACCCATAGGCACAGGGCCAGCCAGCGAGGCCTGCGACTGGGAACGGAGCAGTCTGCCTTGCCAGCAGGCCCCAGGCTCCTCGTCTGATGTGCTGCCCTGGGAGGGGGCAGGAAAGTCCTTGGCCTGAGAGTAGGGGTTCTCGGGGAATTCTGAGTCGGAGCTCGGAGTTCCAGGGGCCCCTCGGTTGTTGCCCCCCTTGATCTGAACCCCAAAAGAGTCCCCGCCTTTCTCTCCGCTGTTCAGCACCACAAAGGGCTGCCCGGCGATGCCCTGCACACGCACAGCCACCCCGTAGGTACTGGCCCTGGAGTCTTTGGCTGGACGCCGCCCCCCACGGCGGAGGGTGCCCGTCTGGGTGCCACCCTCTGCCTCCGTGATGAAGCGAATTTGCACTCCATGGTCTACGGGGCCGCGGGGCTCGGCCATGGTGGACGCTGGCTGGGGCCTAAGGGATGGAGAGAAGCATCTCAGCTGAGAAGGCCCAAGCAGAGGCCCAGAAGCCTCCGCCTGCCCAGCGTCAGTTCCTTCTACATCCAACAGTGGTGCTCATACTCTTTTTTTCCCCCTTCAACTATTTTTGTGATTTTAAAAAAATTTTTTATATTTATTAGCACATGTTTGCAGTTCACAATGGTCACATTCATCATGTGGAGCTCGTACACATACGTAACACATCTTAACTCTTCTTACGCCTCCTTTTAATTTTTCTTACTCCCCGTTTCTCATACTTTATCTGAGCAGCGGGAACACAGGATGTGGGACCACCCCCTTTCTGATTCAGGAGGTTTGGGATGGGGCCTGAGAATCTGCATTTCTAACAAGTTCTCCCTGCTGGTCCAGGGATGACACACTTTGAAACCCACTGACCTAAAAGAATCCATTTACTCCGACATGACCCTGGGGAGCTTGGCTTCGTTAGGGAATTTAATAATTCTGCTTGATACTCACACACACTGTACACACAGACCACCACGTGCTTCCTTCCCCCCAGCGGACGCAAACCCTAAGGCCTGCCTGTCCTCCAGAGAAAAGGGGCCTCCCTCCAGACCACCTTTAAAATATAGAGGATCTCAAAACTGTGGCATCCCAGCACCCCATTTCTAGATTTCTAGAAACACACGCACACAACTGCTAGCACCGGGGTCAGGCACAGAGACGGGAGAGTCTATTCTCTGGGAAAGTAGAAAGCAATGGGTTTTCTACCCTTTTGAACTTTGGACACTTGGATGAATTACCTATTCAAGAAAAGATTTAGGGCTGGAGATGGAGTTCAGGTTAGTGCGCTTGCCTCGCACATTCGAGACGCTGAGTTCTATGTCCACGTCACACAAACAAACAAAGCAAAACAGCTCTCGGTAAGGTTTTAACTGTGCCAGCCCAAGGGGCACTGGGACAGTAGGCGGTTCTGACCCGGGGGCCAAGGCCATCCGCAGGCGGGCTCCCCGGCCCACATTGGCCAAGCTTAGAGTCAGCAAATGGAATGTGTTTCAGGTGTGTGCTGGCTCCAGGAACTCAGGGGAGAGGTTCTGCTCCAAGCAAGTAAAAAAATCCAGCTTCCCCACTCCTTCAGCGGGCCTCCACCACAGCCCGGCACCGAAGTGGAGGAGGAGCCCGAAACGTGCTAGACAGAAAAACAAACATACACAGCGCAACCTCCGCACGGAGTTCTGGGCCAAGGAAACTTGGCAAGGCCCTTCCTGAGAGCTCGTAGAAGGGCTGGGAAGCCTGGAAGCCACGGTGAGACGAGGAGAGGAGAGGGGTGCAAAGGGCAGGCTCCAGGTAAGAAAGGCTGGTAGGGAAACAGTCTCTGAAGAATGGCATTCTTTCTTTTTCTTTCCTTCCTTTTTGGTTTTTTGAGACAGAGTCTTCTTAAGTGAAATAAATCGGAAGCACACGTTTAAATACCGCATTGTTTCTCTGGTGTGAGAAACTGAATGTGGAAATAGGGACTGAGATGTAAAATGGATATTGGGAAATGGGAGGAAAGTGTTCAAATGGGAAGGGGAACAAGGGAGGAGGGAGGGAGGCAGGAAGAAAGGGACAAGAAAAAAAGTGAAAATGGATGGAAAAAATGGAAACAAAGCTTCTGTACATGGGGAGGGGAGGGGGCTTGGGGGGCATGGGATAAAATAAAATAACATTTACTTTAGAAAAAAAGAAAAAAGGGAAGGGAACCAAGAGGAGGGAGAAGAAAGGAATGAAAAAAGAGTTAAGATATGCTATGTACGTGTACCAACTTCCCACAAGGAATATAATCATTATGTACTGCAGATATATACCAGTAAAAATGAAAAGTAAAAAAGTAAAAAAAAAAAGAAAGAAAGAAAGACAGAGTCTTGCTACTTAGCCCAGGCTGGCCTCCACCTCCAGGTGATCCTGGATCCTCCTCACCGCACCCAGGAAGAGCATTCTCCGCATTCCCAGCCTGTCCCCTCTGGAGAAAGGGAGGAAGGGACCCGATATTGGGAATGGTTCTGCATACTTGAGGCCCTGACTAGAACCAAGAAAATTGTGAAAGCAACCCCCACTCCCTCACACACACAGCCGGAGAGCGCAAATGAACTCAGCACAGATTTTTTTTCTTTTTTTTGGTATTGGAGATTAAACCCAGGGCCTTCACACTGAGCTACATCCCCTGTCCTTTTTATTTTTTATTTATTGATTGATTGATACCAGGGATCGAATTTGTCCTTTTTTATTTTGAGACAGGGTCTCGATACATTGATAAATTGCCCAAACTAGGCTGGTATTGCAATCTTCCTGTTTCAGCCTCCAGAGTGCTGCCGTTACAGGCGTGCGCCCCCACACCCAGCTCCCTACACAGAATCTTAAAAAGTTTGTGAAGGTAGAAGGGTAAAGTAGGTCTTCAAAATACTCACCTGGTAGGAAAGGCACTGGCCTAGAGTATGGACTGGCTTGGAAAATCCTAGTTCTGCTCTTCACCTCACGTATATAACCTTGAGCAAATCATAATTTTTCTGAGCCTCAGCCTCAGCAATAAGATGGGTACAATGACACCTCACGAGATAATTTTCTGTGAGAATTAAACAATAATTACAGTGTACACAACTTATAATAGCTTCAATCAACTGAGTGCAGTGACGCCCACTTAGCGGGCTCGGGAAGCTGAGGCCTGAGGATCACAAATTGGATACCAGCTTGGGCAACCCTGCCTCCAAAAATAAAAAGGGCTGGGGATATAGATCCGTGATGGAGCAGCCCTTAATCTGATTCCCATACAGCAAAAACAAAAAACAAAGAAAAAGACATCACTGGGCCCGGTGGCTCATGCCTGTAATTCCAGCATTTAGGAAGCTGAGGCAGGAAGATCACCTGGAGTTAGAAAACAACCTGGGCTACCTAGTGAGCTCAAGCCCAGCCTGAGCTACGTTGCGAGACCCTCTCTCAAACAAAAAAAAATAAAAATAAATCAAGTTTTATATATATATATTTTTTTTTCTTGGAACCAGGGATTGAACTCAGGACCTTGTGTTCATGAGGCAGACGGAGGAACCACTGAGCTAAATCCGCAGCCCTCAAGTTATATTCTTAAAATGTGTGCACATTTATTATATTTCAGTTCCAGTTTAACAAAGCGTGGGGAAATCACAAGACACTGAACGTGGAAGCCCCAGCGCAAATCGGATACCCAGTGTCACTGTTCACACACCCCACTCCTTTCGACCAGAACTTCCTGCCTCCACCGGGTTCCTCAGAGAAGCACTCCAGCACTCATGGGTGCTCTCCAGTTAGCCTCCTGTGGGTTCACCTCAGTTTGTACATTTATTGGATTGTTTCCTGTCCCTCTTCCTCACTAGAGCATAAACTCAAGAGGACAAAGACCACGGTGACAAGCTGACCTCAGTGCCTGGCCCACAGGCACGTGAATAAATGTGTTGAAGACTTCGCCCTGGACCAGCAGACCTATGCACCAGGAGAGGTAGACCTCTCCCAGGATCCCTCCCAGCCATTTCTCTTTTGCCCCGGAGCAGAGCTTGCTGGTCTGTACTCTCTGCCCCACGCCATCACAGTCTCAGAGCCAGATGTGGCTCGATTGTCAGCTCTCCGAAGTCACATGATTTATTCATGCTGCAGCTCTCCCCTGTCAGAACATCTACAGGTCTTCCAGATCCAGGTCAAGGAGTTCCTGCTTGGGCCCCAAAAACAGCCCCTTGGGTGACTGAGAGGGCTGAGTTGTGGGAGGTGGCCCTGGGAGCGCTACCCCAGGACTCCCCAGCCTCCATCACCTTCAGTCCCAGGCCATGTGGGTCAGGGGCCAGGAGGCTTGAGGGATCTTTGGGGTGGGTCAGAAAGCAGAGCTCTAAATGATTCAACATGGAAAACCCGAAACCTACCCGCCTTGGGTTACAGAGGACAGTGGGGCGGGGCCAGGGAGCAGGGCAGCTCCAAGGCCTTGCATAAGCCCTGAGGCTGGTAAACAGTGATGGGTCCCAGGCCTACACACTCACCAGAGGCCTGACCCTGCTTCTCCCCTCCCTGCCCTCTGTCCAGGCTCCTCTCACCAACAGCACCGTGGGAAGAGAGCAGGACAAAAGTTAATTCAGCTTTATCTGTCTGCCTCTGCCTTCAAAGAGGGGGAGGGCACTCTACACCTGCACCAGACTGCACTAGACTGCCACTTCTCTGGAGTTACTCATTAGCCTGCCCTGCCCTGATTCTATCAGCTCAGGCCCACCCATTATCATCTGGCTTCCAACTAGGAGTGACAGTGTCCCTGGACTGGCAGCAGTGGGGGTGGGGCAGTTTCGGTGTTTGGAGGAAGGATTGACAATTCCTTCCCGGCCAGGCAAGTGGCAGGATTCTAAATAACTGGCACATTCAGAAAATGGGAGACCTAGAGAAATACAGATTAGAACCCCCTTGGTGATAATAAGGAAAGCAAATGGTCAAAATAGAAGAGGATAGCTCAGTGACCTTGATCACTATGTTCCCTTTTTCTCATAAAATTTTACAAATAAGGTTTCCAGCTGGTGTGGCCCAGAACTCTGGGAGGCTGAAGCAAGAGGATGCCAAATTCCAGCCCAGTCTGAGCAACTTATCAAGACTGTCTCCAAATAAACAATTTTAAAATGGGATGGGGATGTGAAGGCCCTGGGTTCAATCTCCAGCACCGACAAAAAGAGTTCAAAACACCACCCCCCCACCCCCCTATCCCCAACGTGGACTCCAGGCTAGGTCTCCAGGAAAAGCAGAAACCCGAGAGCCAGGCTAGAGCTGCTAGGCCCGTGGGGGGAATACAACAATGAAGAACTGGGCCCCTGCAAACTGGCTTGACTGGTTTGAGGTAAGGAAAAGGGGAGGGCCGGGGAGAGGACAGAGGCAGCTTGGAAAGCAGACCAGAGAAATTCCACACCAGAAGAGGCAGAGGGGCAAGACCAGGAGCTGCGGCTTGGTCCACCTTGGCTGCCACATCAAGGCTCTGCAGGAGGGGGCAGAAGGTGGAGAGAGGAGAGGCAAGAGGAGCACAGGCACCAAGAACCCGGTGAGTGACAGGCCAGCGCATGACAGGAAGACTTCGTTTCCCTCCACCACTCCCTCTCAAGTTCTCAAAGTGGCATTCCTGATCCCACAATCACCTCGGCCACCTCCCTGGCCAGAGAGATGCTTCTCCCCTCCCCCCTCCCCCCTCCCCTCCCACACGGGCAAAGGCACACAGGCCAGCCTGGGAAGGGTAGGATGCATCTGCTAAGCCAGAATCCTCTCAGGTTAGCAGGCTCCCATTGCCAGACCCCGACACCCAAATATCCAGGACGAACGGAGAGGCGCCATGGGCAGGCACGTGTAGGCAGCTTGCCTACAAGCATAGCGGTTGCTAATTATTTCTCAATTACCACAACTTTCCTCAGGCAGGGCATCAAAGGGGCCAGGCTAAGCTGGCTCTGGTTCCATAGCTGCCTAAGGCAAGGAAATCCACCTTAGAAATTTTGTCTGAGCCCAATGTGCACCTCTCGTCTGGCCTGGGGACTTGGCAGGTGTAATTCCCCTTGTCTCCGTCTCCCGGGGAGTCCTGCCGATTTCCTGCGCCACTAGTGCCTATGCCATCTGCCAGCCAACACGGGTCGGGAGTCAGGACACCCGGTGAGCTCTCAGGGAATAATGAGGACTCCAGGAGCCATCAAGGAAGTTGGCTGCGCTCCCAAACCTCAGCCTGTGGCCCCCAACTAGACCCTAAAAAGAAAGTACGCGGGCTTGGGGGAAGGGCTGACATGAAAGAGGCCTCTTGCTAAGGATTTCTAGATATTTTGTAGCCCTGGGGATCTACGCTTCCCTTATCCCTCTCTTGGGGAGCACTCTCTCTCTTTCAAGAGGAAGAAGGAAAAAGATCCACCCCCCCACCCCACCCCACCCCGGCTAGAATGCAAAGGAAGAGACACTAGTTTCAAGCCTAGCCGAGATGAGGGTGCCCTCTAGCTCTGCCCCTCAGTGTTTCCACTGGCAACTGCCTTCGCCTGCAAGTGAACGGATGGAGAAAGGGTCCCCACCTCAGAGCCGGCTCCGAGCCAGAGGGAGGTGTCAGTGGCCAGTCTCGGCTAGCATCCAGGGGCAGGAGCCTCAGGAAAACAGCATCTGCAGACGCCTGCCGCTTCTGCCTCTGAACCTCAGGCAGCAGTGGGAATAACTCCTTCCCCCACCAGCCCGGTCTCCAAGAGCAATTCTGCTCCCAGGGCTGGCGTCTGACCTCCAGAGGTATCTTGGCCCTGAAACGCTTTCATGCCCTGGGAATAGCCTCAGCCTCAGCTGCCCCAAGTCCCGCCGCCTGGCACCTCCTCGGCCACCTGGCCGTGGCACCTTAGAGTAGGGACGGCTCTTCACCAGCTCTGCCGCCCGCCCCTGACCTCCCCTCCTCCCCTCTCCAACTCGGCACCTGTGCCCTGAAGGGCTGTAGCTGATTGCCTCACCCCTGTTCCGCCGGGGTGCACCTGAGGGCCTTACTACCCCTCAGGTGCCCTTGCCCCCGGCCCGTCCACTCACCCGGGCTGGGGTCGGCGCTCCAGGCTCGCGCTCCAGGCTCGGGCAGCGCTGCACGCGCGGCTCCGGGCCCTCCCCTGGGTGCCTGGGCTCTCGCTCCTTTCCCCCTCCCACCAACCTGTTACTCCCCGCCGGAGCCCCACCCCCATTGGCGGTAAACGCCCTCCCAGGCCGCTGGTTGGTCCGCGTCCAGCGAGGGGCGGGGCCTCCGCCCCGGAGACCCGGACCCGGGGTCGCGAGCAGGGTGGCGGGAGGGGGTGGCTCGGGTCACGTGGGCGGCGGGCGGGGGCGCGCGGGGCGGGGCGTCTGGGGGCACCGGAGGCCATCTTGGGGGCGCTGGGGCTAGTGGCCTGCGGCTGTCCCCCGACCGGGGCTCGCGAGAGCCGCCTGCTTGAGCATCTCCTCCGCTGCCCTTCACCTGCCCACCAGCGTACTCGCCGTCGTCGGCGCCTCCGTCACCTCTTCTCGCGTCTATTTTCTGTTTTTCCCAGTCTGGGATTCTCTCCCCATCTCCTGTGTTCCACAATTATTTTCCATCTTGACACCTTTTTTTTTTTTTTTCTAATAATCGTCATCTTCTAACTCATGTAGTTTTAAAAAGTCATTTTCATCATTTCGTCTCCCGACCCACGTTGAGCTCCGCCTCGGCGAGGTCTCCTGCCTGTTTGCTGCAGAACGCCCCGGACAGCGGCCGACGGTGATTAGGTGCTGATACCTATTAGCTGAATGAGTGACTGAGAACCGGACGTGAGTGTACACGCATCGGAATGACCATTCTAAACGGTTGGGGTTTCAACCCCAGGTTGCAAATCCACGTTTTTTGAGAGTCAGCCTTTCCACGAATAGGCATGTGGGTCCCAGTTCCTAGAAAAGAGTAGTCTAGGCTGCTCTGCAAATTACAGGCTGCGCTGAAACACTGAGGCTGCCTTCCTGGTGTTAACCGTTCAGATACATAAAAAAGACTTGGTTTATGTTGCTGGGCTCTGGATAGTTCCCTCGTTTATTTGTTCAACAAATGTTTATTGTGAACATACGCAGGATTAAAGAGGCATCAGAACAATGCAGCCAGCGCCTTCCCGGAGCGCTTTTCTCCCTCTCCCGGCCTTCGGAAGCTAGGTGTGGGCCCCGGAGGGGAAAGTCCACCTGCCGGGGCCCAGCCGATTTGCGAAGTCTGCATTCCAGAGCAGGCTTCTATTGGGGACGGAGCCCAGAAACCGGCCGTGCCCTGGGGAAGAACAGCAGGAAAAGGTTCGGGGAGGGTGGAGTGCGGAGAGGAGGAAGTGTCCAGGGATCGAGTTACCTCCTGGGATCGCTGGGGTGGGTTGTTTTTTTTTAAGGAGATAGTTTTAATGTAGGATTGTTGAATTGACCCAGAAATTGAAAAAGTGAAGACATAAATTCTCCTAGGTAAACTCCTTAACAATTAGGATACTTCTTGTATTTATAATAAATACAAAGTTGGGTAAATCTAGCCAGCGCTATAGAAAGTTACAAAACAAAACCTGGAACCTGAGTCAGGGCTTTGTCATCTGTTCCTCAAGGAAGCAGCCTCGGGGACATGATTACCTTAGGCTTGGGTGACAAAGGTGACTCCAAGATCTTTGTCCAGCGTTCAAGAAATTCTTTAGTTTTTGCCAGGCGTGGTGGCGTATGCCTATAATCCCAGCACTCAGGAGGTTGAGGAGGGAGGACCCAACTCCAGTTTAAGGCCAGGCTGGACTGCATAGTGGGACCCTATCTCAAAAACACCAAAAAAAAAAAAAAAAGTGAAGATTTAGTTTTGGCAAAATTGACTAGTTTATAAAAACAGCAAGGGAGAATGTTAGAACAAATATGACATCTAGAAGGAAGAAATTGATAGCACTGATACATATTCAAGCAGGTGAAGCTAGATGTGGTGCCACACACCTGTGATCCCAGCATTTGGGAGGCTGAGGCAGGAGGATCACCTTGAGTTCAAGGCCACCCTGGACTACATAGTGAGTTCAGTCAGAGCTAAATAGCAGAACCCCATCCAAAAAAGGAGGTGATTTTATTTAGTGAAAGGGAGTAGGAAAATTCCATGTAAATTGTAGCAGGTTCACCAAAGAAGTGAATTTGAACTGGGTGTGGTGGCCCATCCCTGTAATCCTAGCACTCAGGAGGCTGAGGCAAGAGGACTTCTGGGAGTCAGAGGCCAGCCTGTACTATGTAGCGAGACAATGTCTCAACAAACAAAAAGCAATTTTGACTCGGGTTTAGTATCATAGGCCTGTAAGCCCAGCACTTGTGAGACTGAGACAAGAAGATCACAAATTGGAGTTCTGCCGGGGCAACTAAGCAAGACCCTGTCTCAAAGTATAAATAAATAAGGCTGAGAAGTTCCTTCCTGAGTTCTTGAAGACTAACCGCTACCGCTAACAACTCCACTGAAATTCTTTCTTTTAGGTTTTTTGTTGTTGTTGTTGTTTTGGTACCAGGGATCAAACTTGAGACCTCGAGCTTTTGAGGCAGACAGCAGAACCACTGAACAGGCCGGGGATTTAGCTCAGTGGTTCTGGTGCCTGTCTCGAAAGCACAAGGACCCGAGTTCCATCCCCGGTACCAAAAAAAAAAAAGAGACAGAACCACTGAACTGAATCCCCAGCCCTCTTTTAGGCTTTTTTGAGACAGGGTCTCATTCTGTAATTCAGGATGATCTTCAACTCACTATGTAGCCCAGGCTGGCCTCGAAGTCTCAGCAGTCTTCCTGTCTCAGCCTCCCGAGTGGTGGGATTACAGTCATGCACCACCTCGTACTGTGTTTCAACAATCACCTATTTAAAAATGATAACCATAATAGTAGGCTGAGGCAGCCTTTCAGAAAGAAAGAAAAGAAAGAAAAAGAAAGAAGAGAGAAAGAAAGGGAGAAAGGAAAGAAACAAGAGTAGGAGGGATTTGGGAAGGACCCAGAAGAGGAAGAATATATGATAAATTAATTTTGGAACTTGCCATCTTGGAGAAGTATGTGGGACATCCACAGGGGGAAAAAAGTGCCTGGCAAACAACTGGAAATGAAGTTTAGAAAAGTCAGGACCAGAGACAGAACTAAGAATCATCTTGCTGGGCATGGTGGTGCACACCTGTAATCCCAAAACTTGGGAGGCTGAGGCAGGAGGACCAAGGGTTTGAGGCCAGCCTGGGCTACATAACAAGACCCTAGCTCAAATGAAAAGGCACTTCTAGATTTAATAATTTTATTATTTCCTCTGGGCTTCTCAAGGGGAAAGAAATCCGTGTTCTATCTTCCAGGGCCTCCTTTTATCCTCACCTGGGAATGTCAGTAAATGAACCATACCTGGGACATATCAGGGTAACTGGGACAAAGACATTCCAAGCAACTGTTTTCAGCCTAATCAGAGGAGGAGCTCAGCTCAAAGGCCCCAGAATCACTGCAGGACGCACTAACCCTTTCGTTGTCCCAGCTGCCCACCTTTAATGCCCCGAGCAACTGAATTCCAGTATGTTCAAAGTAAAAATATCTTTTAAAAGGAAAAAAATCAAGAAAGCCACATATGTCCTGTTCCAATGAAGTGAGAAGGAATAAATTCCTCCCAAAGTATTTTTTTATGAGCTGTTAAAATGCCATTCTGAGGAGGGAGCCAGCTTCCCTCCACACACCCAAACAACAGTTGATTCCGCCTCCTGTCTTGCTCCCTCGCTCTCTCACAGGAAAGGAGGCAGAAGCTTGGCACCCTAAACCGAGGCACACACACATCCCCCAAGCCCCAGGCTTCCCCACTCTACTCCTAGTCCATCGTTGCAGTTTTAGCAGAGCCTCACTAACTTTCGATTTGCTTAGGTTCCTCATCTGAAGCTTTCCAAAATTCATGTCTCCTAACACAGGGGCACGACGCCATAGAGCAGGTGCTGGGCACAAAACCAAACACCTGATAGGGCAGCCCGGGTTCCCTGTAAGATAGAACCATCCCTTGGCCGGCTGAGGTGAGTTGCCAGCCTCGGGTCCACTGGCTGTCACAGCTAAGGACAGCCCCAGCCAGCGACAGCGCAGCGGGGCCTGGGCCTGGCATCCCTCTCTGCTGTTGCCTCCTCTAAGGACACTCGTCCAGTAGATGTGGCTAGGAAGGACTGGCATCATGGCTTGAGGTCTCCTTGCCCAGTTTTGCTTCCCATCTCCTTTTCTATCAAAGGCCTGGACTGACGTTATCCTGCATGGGCTATCTCAGCCCTTCCTGCTTCCCTCTGTCTTTCACTGGCATTCCCGCACAGTACGCCTCTTGCACTTCTAACTTTGTCTTGCCTCTGCTTCCCAGACCACTTGAACTGACTGTTAGTTCCAGGAGTGGCCTGAAAATGATGGGGAAGGAGAAATGCATTCCTCACTGCCTGGTTGGCCATACTCATAGTCTAGTCCTAGCTGTTTGGGAGGCTGAGGCAGGAAGGTCCCTGGAGCCCAGGAGTTCAGAGCCAGCCTTGGCAACATTGTGAGACCCTGGCTCTAAAATTAAAATGAAACAAAAGTCTCCCGGACGGTGTGGAGTACAGATATTGTTCGGGGGGGAGATGGTGTTGAAACTGCAGTTGCTGAAACTTTCACTGATGGTGAAGTAGGAAATGGCCTTGTGAGGTAACAATTCAGGCACATGGGTTAGGCAGAGGGGGAGCAATGAACATAGGCACAGGGGAATTGGCTGCCTGTTATTAAGTTGCATTGAGCCCTGCCAGGAGATAATGAAAAGCTGAGAGCAGTTAACAAACATTGAAAATTAACTGTGAAGGCCAGAGGGCCTCTTTGAAAGCTTACAAAGAGGCCTTTATCTACAGCAGTGGACAGAAAAAAATCAAAAAATATTCAGACTAAAGTCCTGACTCAGTGGAGCTCCTGGAGGCAAATCTGCAGTCAAGGTCAGGGCTAGTTGGAAAAATCTGCGACTCCGTCTCAAGGACAACACATGCTGGGGTTTCCAGAACTTCTGGCTCTCTACACTTCTCTGGGTCTTCAGGACCTCAGAAGGCTGGGAGCTCCCCTCCAGGAGGGAGAGAATGCAGAGACCTCTCCTCCCTCAGTATCTCCTGACTTCGGGATTTTAATTAGGAAAAACTGCAGCATCTTCCCCAAACATGCTGCACCTGCTAAGGGAAGAAGGGACTACATCTCCAAGTGTCAGTGAGAATGAGAAGACATATAGGGATGAGACCTGGGGGATGGCTATGGGAGTAGATCCTGCCCCCATTTTTTTTCTGCCATCATGTTTTGGCAGCATTTGGGTTGAAACCAGGGCCTCACACATGCTAGGCAAGGCCTCTATCACTGAGCCACATCCCCAGCCCATCAGCACTTTCAAATTTTCTTTTGAAACAAGGTCTCACTGAATTGCCTAGGCAATCCTCCTGCCTCAGCCTGCAGTGTTTCTGAGATAATAGGCCTGTGTGCTACCACACCAAGCTTGGCATTAGATTTTGATGATGCTTAATCTAAGAAGGGTGCCTCACATCCTTCAGGTAATTCCTGGCAGGAAGAAAAATTACCATGTTATCAAAGTAGGGTTTGGATGACATTATCAGTTAAGCCACTGAGACTGTTAGAGGCCATAGCTGGGAACCAGGGGGGTTCAGAATAGAAGGAAACAATGAGTACCACCTACAGTCCTGAAACAGCTCCAGCAATTAGGCTGGATACTATTCTACTAACACCCCTCTTCTAAGTTTTCCCACAGGGAGAAGGGCCCGTGGAACCCTACCAAATACATACAGAGACACAAACCCAC